CTTCAGGAGCAGGGTTAAGAATAAAACACTAGTACTTTTTAAAAATTAGGGAAGCACTGTAGCGTCATATGTGATATATTATATTGATAAATCACTAAAAATAAGTTACGAAAAAATATGTTACCCGTTTCCGTCTGTGTCGATTAGACGGATAAATTGGGAAACTACTGGACCAATTTTGTCAAATTTTATATGTCCGTTAGGAATATCCTGCAGATGGTTAAACGTAAATATGACTTAATCATCTCTACCAACAATGTCACCACAAAATATTGCATAATAAATGCGATTTAAATTTTATAAAATAATTATGTTATACTTCTACATATGTCGTTTATGAACCCGTTTTGATTTTTTGACCTAAACCTCCAGATTATTATTATCCTTAAAATGCAAAGAAAAGACAAATCAGTTAATGATAGAAACTTTAGTGTTTAGCTTAAATCTGAATCAGCAGCTTTATTAAATTTTAGATTAAATATTTCTAAACTTGCAATTTGTATTTATTTAGTGATAACATAGAACAGGGTGGAAAATATCCACTCATTTTACTAAAATCAACAATATACAGAACAGAAGACCTACTTTTCTATATTCTAGGAGAGTTACGAACCACGTTAAAAAATGAAATTAACCACCGTCTAGTTTTTCTAGTTTAGTTTCCAAATAAGTAGTCTACAAGATCATAAAACTAAAAAAAAAATATGTGACGAATTTGAAATTATTTTATAACGTTCTTAGTACTCACTTCATTGCGAAATGTCAACATTATGTAAGTATTGGTCAGTCAAAATCCCCTACTTGATTTTTAATGAAAAAAAAAAATTAAGTGGACATCATTTGATTTTATTAAGCTTTTTTCACCTGTGGACGAATCAACGTAAAATATGAAGACAGTTGTCGGAACCCACGTGATATAATGACTTCAAAAATTTTCACTATACAGGGTGTTATTGAAAAGTACGTACAACAAAATTGATAGTTCTTCGTGAAGTCTAAGAAGTCTGAAAAACTTATTTTTGTTATCAAAATTATAAGGGGAAAATTAACCCTCATCCAACCTTTTTAGACGCTACTGAAGGATAAATAGGTAAAATTAATTTATTTTAGTAAATCCTAGCAACTGTAACAATAATAAAATAATAAGAGATCCTTTTGTTGCTATAGAAACGAAAGATGACGTTTTTATCGGAGGCGTATGTACGACGAATTTGGACATAAATTTTAATAATTTTTATCTCTAAAAGGAGGACACTTTTACGTGAACTTTTTTTTTTAATTTTAGCACCTATACTTCGAGACCAATTGCCGATTTTACTTTGTACGTACCTTTCAATAACACTCTGTATATATATTATCTTATCACTTATTTACAACAACATTAAGATCGAATTAAATTAAACTATAAATTAAAAAATACCACTACTTAAATATCGAGAAAACAATAAAAACACAATCAAAAGCACGAATTTTTGACAGTTTGTTTTTTATCTCTACATTCTCATCTTAAACTTTCAAATTGACGGTAACCTAACAAAACGAAAGTTCTATCAAAGACAAATCTTCATAAATACTTGCTGCCTTTGATCATATTTTTCTTTTATTGCTCTTTCGGTATACATATAATCACACTATATCAGCGAAATAAACAACAATAAAAGTACTTAACGTTATCTTCGAAATTTTAGTTTATCTTTTTTGAAATATCTTAGTACTTGGAAAAAAACCAAAACTATTTTTTAAATATAAATTTGTTTAATAATAATTTACTGGGTTGTCGCCATTAATTTTATAGCGGCAAGATAAAAATTCTATCAACGACAAATCCTCAAAATAATATGTTGTTTAAATTTGAAAAACAAGTAATTTGTGCATTTTACAGTTATTATTTATGTTTTAATCATAAATCCGTTATACAGAGTGGTCAAAGAACGGCGTACTAACTCACCGGTATATTAGTCCCTATGTCAATTTGACGTTCAGTTACAAAAACAATATATGGATTTAGATAGTCGGATAAAAAAATGTGGAAAATTAACCACTCTTGCCAGATTTATTCTGAAGAATTTTTAAGCTTTTTGAGATAATATAAAACAAAGAAAACGATGAATAAAGAACAGATAGCTATAAAATGATTTAGAATAATGAAAGTCTGATGGATTTGATACACCCAACACTAATTAAAATATTGTGAAATATCGAAAAAGAAAATTAAAGTTTCAAGGACTATGTCTTCTACATTTGGACTGAAGGATTTTTTTTAATTATTTCTCTATGCTCAATAAACAGTCCTTAATAACGTGTCCTAGAGTTATAGTGCGCCATTTTTTCAGCACCCGGTATAAGAAGTATCATATTTTTGAAGTAAAAACACGATCAAAGGCAGTCATGAATTTTTGGAAGTTTGTCTTTGATCTTTACATCATCAACTCACATTTTCAAAGTTCTATCAAAGGCAAATCTTCAAAAATACATGGCTGGCTTTGATCGTCTTTTTGATTTACGGCTCTCTCGATACAAACAAAACACTTCAGTTCGAAATTCAATTTTTAATTATTTATTAGTTGGAAAATAAAGCAAAACTGTTTATTAAGTTTAGATTAGTTTAGTAATTTATTGAGTTAACGTCATTAATTTTCTAGTGATAAAAATTCTATCAAAGACAAATCTACAAACATCTTGGGCGTCTTTGATCGTGTTTTTTTGTTGCTCTACCGATATTAATTCACAAATTGGTACAAATTTTAAAAACTTTAATAAGTTGTGCATTTTCTAGCCACTGCTTAGGTTTTAATAAATAAATCCTTTACACAGGATGGTCAAAAAACAACGCACTAACTCATCACAAACCCCTATATACGTCAATTTGACATTCAGTTACAAAAACAAAATATCGATTTAAACAGTCAAATCGAAAAATGTGAAAAATTAAACACTGTTGTCAGATTTATTCTGAACGATTTTTAAGTTTTTTTGTGATATTATAAAACAAAAAAAAAGATGAATAAAAACCCGATAGCTATAAAATGATTTTGAATAAAGAAAGTCTGATGGATTTCATCTACCCAACACTAAAATATTGTGAAATATCGAAAAGGAAAATTAAATTTTTGAGAATTGTTTTAATTATTTTTCTCTGTTCAATAAACAGTTTTTACAAACGTAACGTAGAATTAGTGCATCATTTTTTGAGCACTCGGTACAAGGTATTATATTTTTTAGTTTAACAAAATATTCTTTCATTCTTCAAATTATTGCAAAAATTATAATTTGTCTATAATTTATATAAAAAATTTACCTTATTCTTAACCTGATGGAATAAAAGTTAAGGAAATGCAATCCAATAAAATTTGTGTAATGTTTTATAAACACACTGTATTTTTGCTTACATAGAATACGATAATGCAGATGTTTCCCTTTCCATTCGTTTTTTAACGCTTTTGTGGGTATATATCTAATTTTTGAAACTAACGAACACAATGCTTCGAAATTTATATCGTAAAAGAATAAAGCTATCAAAAAACCTATGATGACATTTAAAAATACTTCTCCAATAAATATCTTATTTAAACTATGGTACATTTACATATAAATAAAATAAAAAAATCTACATTTTAAATTTAAAATTAACCAAGAGAATATTTCCAAAATCTTAAGCAAATATTACACAGTTTCGAGACTACAGTGTATTATAAAGTAGTATAAAAAAAATATTAAATACATTTTTACTGAGATACTCAATTAGAATTTTGTTAACAGTTTCAATAGTTTCTTAAAATTCTGAATACACAGTTATATTATTTTTAGTGTTACATTGTACATATTCCTATTAGATACTCACTCCCATACGAAAATTGATGACGTCATTAAAAAACATATTTAGTAAACTTAATATATATTTAATGCCAATTTACTTTTAATGTTTCCAACTATGGAATTATCTTAAGGAATACTTTAATTAAATTATACTTATTTAAGACTTTCTCTAAAAAAATAAAAATGTCGTTATGTAGGTAATCAGTAGGAATATCTAGACAGAGAAAAAAAAGTGACTTCACTTTCCTTTGAAACACACCTAATATGTTCTCCGTGGCGGTTGAGAAACAAGGAATGTTTTAAGAAAATTACTTCACACAATTTTAATTATTTATAATTAGAAAATATTATAACTTAATTATCATTCTTTTCTGAAAAATGTTTGACATAACCAAAATTTCAGATCTTCAGGCCAAATGTTTATTTATACAACAGTGTAACATAATATAGGCAATAAAAAAAGGCCTATAACTTATAAAATTCGCTCATGGTTAAATTAAATTAGTTGCATATTATGTATAAACACATATCCGCATTTATTAGCTGGCAAATATATAAATTTTAAATAATCACTGTTTAATTATTTTGGCATATACACGGTGGAAATAAACATGGTGTGAATAGCTAGAAACGTCAAAAATATACGTTGAATAGGTTGACAATATTATTAATATGTAATACATGTAATAAATAGATACCATGTATAAGTATATTATAAGTAACTAATCATAATCGGTAAAACCTTTATGAAAGAAATTTAAAAAAGAATAAATGAGTAAGATTTTTTTAACTTTTTGTAATTTTTCACAACATATCATAGTTGTACAACAGATTCCTTTGTAACCGATTGTAAAAAATAGAAAAAATAAATCTTCTGATTTATAAAGAAAAACTGTATGGCTGTATTTCATGTGTCACATGTAATAATATGTTAGAAATAACAGTCCTTATTATATTCTTTCGTATCTATTTTTCTTCAAACATACATATAATATTGTAAAACCTGAGTAGATAATAGTAAATATTCAAGACATGTTTACAAAATTTCAGCCATTAAAAAAAATCGAACAACACCCATCAGGCCTACATTTTTTTTGCCCAAATTTAAATAGATCAAATTCCTTTGTAACTTTGCTTTTATTTATTAAAAATCGAGTCATAACTACCTAAATGTCCAAACTCACCCGGCGCCGCGCTGGCCTGGTGGCCCGTGAGCCCTAACACCGCCGCCGGCGAGGCTCCCCCGGCGTTGGCGTTCATGCCGGCGGCGGCGGCGATGTTGTGGGGCAGGAAAGCGGCGGCGACGGCGGCCTGTGCGTTGAAGTAGGCCATCCGACTCGCCGCCATCGTCATGTGGTGGTGGTTGAAGCCGTGTTCCGACGGAAAGCACGTAGGCGCTTGCAAGTGGCGTTGCGGGTAAACATTGGGGGTTATGGCCGACACCGCCGCCGTGGGGGAGCGGTGCTGGGAGTCGCTCAACCCCAGCAGCTCCTGGATGGCGAAGGGCGATCTTTGAGGCATCGTCTGGGAGGGTTTGTTCAGAATACTCGGCGCCGTCACGTGGATGGTGTTCTCTAAACTGTCATTGTTCATTTTATTCGAATTTTTAATTAGCGTCTCTCATGTCACTTCGTTGTACTGAAATCACGGGAAATTTAAACCGGACACATTTTGGCGCGCTTTGGGGTTTTCAGTTTCAGCAAGCGTTCATGGTCGAATGTTGGAGCAAACTGACTACTCCAATTTGAAAAACGACTACTGCGGCTTGCCTAACAAAGATACTCCCTAATATTCGCCTGAAAAGGACCCCTTGGAGGAGGCGTGTCCTGAAATCTACCAATAAACCACCTGAAAAGCTTGTGCTTATTGGTATGCGAGCGGAGTGGGATTTTGGGTTGTTTGGGAAGTGTGGGTAAGGACTAGTTTGGTGTGGCGAGGGAGTCAATAAGGCGGAGTTAACTTCGGTATTGTTGGCGGGATGGGAGCTTTAACACAGATGGGTTTAAGGGTTAAATTGGGTCGGCACGTGATACAATTAATGTCAAACAGTTTACACGCTTAATTAGTAAAGATGTGTTCAATTATGATAATTGAAAGCGATTAATTGGCTGTGACTAATCCGGACCTTGTTTCATGTCATGATGTAAAACAGCATTTTAATCACCTAATTCACATCAATAATATCTCTTAAATTCAATAAAAAATATTTTAATATCTAATTTTCTTTTATGTATCTAGTTCATTTTTAAAAAATTTATACAATTTGTATTTTTTTTTGCCAACTGTATTAAGTACATTTATTATTAACGACTAGGTTCATTTTAAACATTGGTAGGTATTAAATATTTTTTTAATTATGTGAACTTGCTCCAGAACAAAAAATTGACACAACAAATTTATTATTCAAAACACTGAACTTTTTTTCGGGAAGTTCAATTGAAAACACAAATTTGCCAAGAAATATAAGAGCAATTAAATATTTCCATTTTTCGATTTTTTTTTTTTTTTATTTATTGATAGGGTAAATGTGTACAAGAGTGCGCATATGTATAAGAGTACGCACTGATGATTTCTGCTTATTAGTGCCATCTGGGTAAGATGAAGTTATACCATTCACAATCAAATGCTAAACTTGAGATAAAGGTGCAACAGTGACCTGTATATAGTTTATAGTTTGATCGTACTGACGATTTTATGTTTACGCGTTGTGTGGATGTAATTTTTACAGCTCATAGTTTTAGTTTTTTGTAAGGTACGTACCAGTTCTTTTATTTTACAGTAATAATGTTCATTAGCTGTAACTTTTAAGGTGTCGTTATACACTAGCAGTTTTATACTTTCTATACATCAAAAGCTTTTAACTTTGAAAACATTAGGTTATGTACAAATGTACAAGAGTGCGCAATACTTGCGATACGTAGTCTTATAGATACATATGATATCTACTATAATGAATTATTTAACTCTACTACTTTGTACTGCTTCTCAAGTTGTGTGGTGGTGGTTATGGTGATGTTTGTTTTTTAATTTTTACTTCCTGAGCGTAAGCGAATGAAGTATTGTGATCGAGTCCGTCGACCGACTCTCTACTTTTACGTTTTCTCGAATTTCAAGACCCGTAGAGTACGAAGAAATATGGATCCCGTTGTATGTGTAGTCTGTAGTCACTTGTCCCTATTTATTTTCACCTTAGAAATAAAGATTTTTTTCATAAAATGTAATGCGCACTCATAAGCGTTCAAGTGCGCACTCTTGTGCAGTGGACTGTCTAAGAGTGCGGATTTACACATCTTGACAAAAATTGAAATTACTCTTAAAATATAGTGGTCTTGGGACATACAATTAAATATATCTGATCTCTAAACATGTATATGACGAACCCATGTCATAAAATTTGTCTATCCAAAATAATTAAAAAGTTATTGACAGTTTTACACTAAGTGCGTACTCTTGTACACATTTACCCTATTATTAGTTTTTGAGACACTATCAGGAAAGAGTAACGTGATTTTCTAATGGTATCATTAAAAAAAAAAACACTAAATTTTTTCAGAGTAGCTATAACGCATGATTGGTCCCAAATTTGTCATAACTTATTATATTTAAGTAAATGAATGGAATTCCACCAATAAGTGACTTTAATCGTCATAGCCACATGAGTTCCATTTTTTTTTATTTAATTAATTTTGCCAAAAATAAAAAAAATAAATTTAACAAAAAATGTAACACCTATTCTGTCGGATTCCTGAAAATACCTACAATAGTTGACACAACACTAAAGGAAATTATTTTGGAAGGTATCTACACTGTAAAATAAATGTAATTTTACTGCACGTAATTGTATCTAATAATTACCCATATTAAAGAAGTGATTTTACCTTAAGTTTGAGGTAAAATTATATTTCACCTAAAAATTAAGTTAAATCACGTTTTTATTATGGGTAATTATTACATTTACCTACGGTAAAATTACGCATTTTTTACAGTGTGTATATTATTTTTGGAACCCTCTAAATCATCTAAAAATAAAAAAAAATCAAACTAAAATCTATTTTTGATAAATACACTGACCGTCAAAAAAACCGACCACCCTGAAAAATTTGGCAGAACCAAACTTAAACAATTATTAATTTAACTAGTGATCGTTATTTTATTAAAGAACCATTCACTATTGACACATGTTGTATACATTAGCAAAAAAAAAAGACAAATAAACGCAGAATTAAATTTAATTTAATAAAATTACAGAAACAGAGCGACAATTTGAGAGACCTCTGTAAAAGTTAACGACATTATTTTCGCTTGAAAACGTTTATTAACTGCCAAACTTATAATCAAATGATGAAAAACACTGTTCACAACAACAGCCTCCTTTATTGTTTTATTTAAGAAAATATCGTACTTGCATGGTCTGTTTCTGTAATTTTGTTAAATTAGATTTAATTCTGCGTTTATTTGTCTTCTTTTTTTTTTGATTTGTACATCATGTGTCAATAGTGAATGGTTCTTTAATAAAATAACGATCAGTAGTTAAATTAATAATTTTTAAAGTGGTTTTTCGAAATTTTTCAGGGTGGCCGGTTTTTTTGCCGGTCAGTGTATTAACTCACATTAAAAAATTATATGTAAGTAGAATGAATTATGCTTTTGAGACGAAGTAAGTTCGGTGCAAATAAGTTTGGAGCTTTTTTTATTTTTTCTACAGAATATCATTTTATATAACAATAATGTATGAATTTTTTTTTAGGTATATCGAATACTTAGTAGTTGTAACTGTTACAGTTCGTTGTCTTATATTAATATTAATATTAATTTTTTGGGAGACATGGTAAGCTGTCAACATAAGTAGCGTTGGCAAAATATTAGATAAATTAAGTATTATCTTAACACGTACTTAATTAATTAATTTTTTGGTGTGGAAAAATGTATTAATTTCGAGATGTACCTAACTATACACAATGTAACATCATTCACAATATCCCGTCTAGTCGGAATTTAGGGAAATTATTTTTTTTACAAAACAGTACCCAAAAAAAATGATATCCGGCGTTTTATTTTTCTACAAATATTTATTTAGATATTACTGAAAATTTTAGACAATTCAATGAAAATCTGTAGGCTGCGGTTTCGACCTTTTTGGGTCTCATCAGTACAGCACATTTCAATATTCCAGTATTTATTTAACTTAAACTTACGGCGAGTTTCTGCGTTTTTCACTTGCGAGATATTCATTACATTTTCAGAATGTACCTAAGTAATATTTCCGTTATTATTAACAGACTTATTGCTATGAAATTTTAAATATAAATTGTCTACAACTTGCTATATATGACACAGGTATAGTTTTTTTAAAACATCATTATCAGTCTTTTTAAAGTTTTTGTGAAATTTTTCATCACGTATTTTTAAAATTCAGTATCTCAATGGTTTATGGAAATTTCGGAACGCGGTTTTCACCAATGTTTTCAGTTTGCAAAGCTCTATGCGGTAAATGGAAAATATTGTCGATTTCTTTTGTTGAAAACACAGCAGATACAACAAAAGCAGCTTCTTCGACACAAGCTTCTTTGTGTAGTACCTACCTATATTTTATTTCGGGACAAAAAAATCGAAAATCAATCAAAGAGACTCCTTTCAAGGCATATCAGAGATGAGGTATAGAAAAATGTCGGTAGTGACTGACTGGGAATCTGTAGACTGTAGTTTCGACCTCCTAAGGTCTCATCAGTACCTACAGCATATTTTTTGTTTTTAATATTTTGAAGAAGCAACGTTACCAGTATTCAGCATTTTTTTAACAATATAACACTATTCATAAAATTTACTGTCTTCCTAAAATTTTACTGAAATGAAATAAACCCTTCCTGGAGTAATTGGCACAAAATTAAGACATCCTGTGTAAGCAACAAAAGTATTACTTCTCTAGAAGATAGATAAATATTCTGTGTACTTAGGTAGTATTATATATTAGGCAATATTAATCAATATTAGTCGTTCTACTTTTTTTTTTTAATTTTGTTATCCAGTTTTTTAGATGAACTGTAAAATTATAAACTTAACTGTCTGAAGCAAGCGTATCTGACTCGACAGATTGCAAGCGAAATTTACTTCATAAAACTTTATCAATAAATTTTGATTAACGTTTTATCATTTTCAAAATAATTTTAAAATAGAACCAAAATCTCAAACTTATTGGTTCAACAATTCAGAGGTTATTTGACTAATAATCGCCAACAGACGGACCAACGAAAAAGGAAATTTTATAGTTATTTCTACCACAAGGAATGAAACACCAAACACACTACTACCAAATAATTGATACATCCCTTAGCTACCGTCGGGAGTAAAAATTTCTAAAAAATTGAAAAAATAAATGTTTACATTTAAAGTGCCACAAAAAAATTATATTCATTTTTAAAGAGATATCTATTTTTTAGAATAGATATTTAACGGATTTCACAGTAGGTAGTAAATTTTCCACTAATTTTCTGTTTAAATAAGGTGGAACTAAACTTATTAGTTATGCCATCACTTGCACTATGTTAAAATCTAATGATATTTTTTAAATGTATGTATTTTTTGCTGTTATTTGTAAATAGTTTCAAGTACACGAACCAATTATTTCAAAGCTATGTTAACTACCTATAGAAAATTAATTGCGTAAAAAAACCTCTACCTAGAAGACGTCATTTAAAAAATACCACAAAATTTTAAAATCAAATCTTCGAC